GAACCCCCCGATCCTAGGTGGGCTCGTGGCCGTCCAGCTAAAAGCTACATTTCCCAGCTTCCCTTGCACCTGGGTGTGGCCATGTGACTGAATTCCAGCCAATGGGATGTGAGCAAAAGTGATTATGCCATTTCTAGGTCATGCCCTTAAAAGGAATGAGTGTGCCCTCCTCTCCCTCCTTCCCCTTCTCACTGGCCAGTATGCAAATGTGATGGCAGGAGCTGCGGCAGCCACCTTTAACCCAGAGACAGATAGTGCCATATTGACAATGGCAGAGATACCCCACCAGCTCAGGACTGCCTATCTTTGGACTACTGTGTAAGAGCAAATCAAAATTCTATTTTAAGTCACTATATTTTGAGGTCTTTTGACTACCTACACTATAAGTAATTCATATAAGCCTCATGCCATTACCTTTACCCAGGAGCCTGAAGTTATTTGCACTTATTTGTGTTTTCTTATTTCAAATCGTATGTTCTGTGTCTTCCTTTTATAAAAATTAAACTGTTAGCTAGTAGTCTAATTTTTTTCCCAAGAACCAGCTTATGGATTTATTTATCCCAGTGTGCTTAGTATTTTAAGATTATTTTGGCTTCCTTTACACTTGAATGGATGTCGTTCAATGTAAATCCCATTTGTGGAATTATTGGGTCATATCCTTTCTCCTCAACATTCTTTCACATCATTCCATTGTCTCATGCCCATCTAAAGTTGCTGAAGTCTGAAAAAAGTCTCATTTTATTCCTTTGGTAGATTGTCTGCTTCTCCTACCTGGATATTTGTAGTAGGATGCTTTTGTTGTGCCTAAGATTGAGGAACTTCACAAGAGCTATCCTGGTCTCAATGGTTTCTTTACTCAGTTTACCTGGAATAGAGTAAATCTGTTTGTGTGCCAGATTGGGTCTTCAGAAATGGCTTTTTCTTTTACGTGTTTAACTACCTTTTCAATTCCATTTGTTCCCTCTTCATCAGGAACTCTAGCTGTATGTTGGGTCAACATAAATGTCTCCCATAGCTCTCATTTTCTATCCATTCTCTTTGTCTCTTGCCCTTCTTTATTGTACTTTGTGTGATAGTCTCTGGCCTGCTAACCATGTCACTGACTCGGTTTGCTGTCATGTCACCTTGTGGCTTCTAATGTGACCGTCAGATACTGAGTGGATTTTTCTTCTTTTTTTCCCCTTACCTCATCAGGTCCCCTTTTCATCTTATTTTGGTATCTCTGATTTTGTTTGTTTGCTTGCTTGTTTCATGAGAACTACAAGGTCCCCTGAGAGTACAGAGAGGATTCTTGTCAAGGACTTTATTCTATTTCCTGGAATCATTTTTCTTCAGATATATATTCTTTCCATGTATTTTCCTATGGACATTCTTTGGGAGAGAAGGGTAATATCTTACATAGATCCCATGGTAGCTCTTTACTAAGAAATAGTGACTATTTTAATAAAAAAAAAAAATACCTGAATCCATCAGCCCTTTTTTTTTTTTTTAAGATTTTATTTATTCGTCAGAGAGAGTGAGAGAGAGAGCACAAGCAGGGGGAGTGGCAAGCAGAGGGAGAAGCAGGCTCCCCACCAAGCAAGGAGCCTGATGTGCGACTTGATTCCAGGACCCTGGGATCATGACCTGAGTCGAAGGCAGACGCTTAACCAAATGATCCACCCAGGTGTCCCTCCATCAGCTCTTTAGATATAAATTCTATTTCACAGGAAAAACAGTAGCTAGACAAGCAAACTAAACACCACAAGGAAGTAACCAGACAGATCCGGAAGGTGAGATATTCTGTAGGACAACTACCTCAATTGCTTCCACTAGTAAGTGTCCTAAAAAAGGACTGTACTAGATTAAAATAAACTTAAAGGGGATGTGTAGTCCTGGATTGAATACCAACTTGGATAAATCAGTTGTAAGAATAATTGGAGTTAACTGGAGAAATTTTAATATGGCCTAGAAATTAGGTAAGATGAGACAAGAGAAAAGTATACCAAAGTACAAAGGTAGAAAGTGTTGGCTAAATAATACAGGTTATAAAAAAGTTAAAAACAATTTTTAGACCATAATCTCTGTCTCTCTCTCACTCACTCTCTCTCACACACACATACACACACACACACGGTTGTTGCAGTGATATTCTCTGGGAGGTAAGAATATGCTGTTTGTTTTTTAATCTTGTCTCTATTTTCTGATGTTCTACAAGCACATGTACTGCTTATGTAATAGTTTTTTTTTTAATAGTGACACAGATTTAAATGGGACAGATTTGCCATGAAGATAATAAAGCTTATGCTTTAGGGCCCTTTGTTCACATGGAAACTTCCAAGGCCCTAGGAGGGCTTCTGGCAGTTTTGTATCATATTTTTGTGGGCATTTTTTATTTGTTATGTTTTAGAAATGTTTTACTGTAGTAAAATAGACAATAAATATACCATTTCAAGCAGACAGTTCAGTGGAATGATGTACATTCGTACTGTTGTGCACCCATCACCACCCCCCACCTCCAGAACTTTGTCATCTTCCTGAACTAAAACTCCCTATTGCCCCATCCATCCAGTATTTTTATTTTTAAGTGTCTCCAAAATTGTGTAAGCTTTAAGTGCCACAGCACCCTGGTCCAGCCCCAACTGACAATCAGATATCCTGGTCACTCCTGAGCAAGTTTTGAAAGGATATTTGACAAACAATGAATCATGGAACACTACATCAAAAACTAATGATGTAATGTATGGTGATTAACATAACAATAAAAATTTATTAAAAAAATAAAATTACCTTTCAAAAATGTAAAAAAAAAAAGGATATTTGACACTAGTAGGTGATTTTAGCCTCAAACCAAAGTGCTACCAACATTGTCAAAGAGACAAGATCACTATGGTGGGGAGAGAGAGGGGGGCAGAGGGGCAAGAGAAGCAGACTCCCCACTGGGCAGGGAGCCCCATGTGGGGCTTCAACCCAGGATCCTGGGATCATGACCTGAGCCGAAGGTAGATGCTTAACTTACTGAGCCACCCAGGAGCCTTGTATCAGCAAGTTTTAAGCCTGACTCAATATAACAGAAAACCCAAATTTATTTCTCTGATACATAAAGGAAGTCTGGAGGCACACACAGTCCAGGCAGGACTAGTATGGCAGTTTTATGATCATCAAGGAACTGCAGCCCTTTTATCTTGCCATGCTACTGTCAGTAGAATGCCACTTCATGGCCCAAAGGGGCTGCTCAAGCTCCAACTGTCAAGTCTCTATTCCAGCCAGAAGGGAAAAAATAAGGAGTGAAAAAAGTATGCCCCTTCCTACAATGTTTCCTCACCACAGATGCACGGTGGGCTTACATCTCTGTGGCCACAACATAGTCACATGGCCTTAACTAGCTGTAAGGGAGGCCAGGAAATGTAATTTTTATTTCAGAAACTTGTGCCCAACTAAAGATCAGACATTCCATCATTAATAAAGAAATGGAGAGAATGGATATTGAGAAAGGCAGCTAAGCATCTGTCAAATAGTTTTTTTTAAAAAGATTCAGTGTGCTAGTTTTTGAGGTTTGATGGGGGCAAGTAGGAAAAGACATTTGATTATTGTTTAGGATTTTGTTTAGAGCCAAAAAGCTCATTTCCTCACAATTAACTTTCTAGACTGGGAGCTAAAGCCTCTTTCAATCCCACAGAAGTGGGCTAAACAGGCTTGTACAGAAAACAGGAAACGTCATCTTCCCCACCAAAGGGGACTTTTGGATGTCTCAGTGGCCAAATACATTCAAACCACATATCTAAGACCAAAGAGCTTGACTGTGGCGGGCAAGCTTTAACCTATACCAGCGTGTTAGCTGCCATCACATTTGGACTGTGTGTTGCTTCCAGAGAAATGGAAATCTCAGGACGCGGTCTCTTGACCCCCTCCTTAGAGACTGTTCCATGGAGGACATTTGTCCCATGTGATAAACAAATGAGAACAAGGAACAGGAATGCCCCAGTTGCTTTACCAACCACGGAGCGGTTTCTGGTGCTTGAACCGGGCAAACTAGAAGCGGCCAGGTGAGGGGCGGATGGAATCAGACCAGTAGGGCCTCATGATCTTTCAGCTGCCCCTCTGACTTGCTAATGAAATAGAAAAATAAATCTTCATGCTTGTACATCACATACACTGGTTGTCCAATTGCTTTTCTGAATTGATCACCTTTGATTTTGATAGATAATACATCGTTTAGTAAATTCCGGGATTTTGTCCAAATCAGAATATAATTTCTCCCCAAAGTGGCCTTGAACAGCGGTCAGCCTGCTTCCTTCTTTGCCCTTGACCTCGCCACTGCAGGATTTGGGCTCTTGCTTCTTCTGACTCCAGGATGAGCATGCTGTCACTCTCCGAGAGGGGGAACGTCTTGTTGATCTAGCAGAACTGCCCTGTCGCAGTTCTAGTCTTCTCAGCTGGGCACCCTCACAGAGCCAGCCTCTGGGTAAAAAACTAATTACTTGGACTCCTTCTTCAGTTTGACCTCCTAAGGGAAATAGGCCCGCAGAAGTAACCACCCAGGCGTAGCAGAGCATGGAGCAGGGCCCAGCAATTCCTTCCAAAACGGAAAAGCCTCCTGCGGATAAACAAGGATATTTGTGTTCCCGCCTCGTGCACAGCTCGGAAAGGCTGGGTTTTAAATAGACAACAGCACTTAAAACTGCTTGGGGTAGGTTGCATTAAGAGTAAGGGAGGGTTGAAAGGCCGGGAAGAAAATAGCCTCCCAGCAGCTTACCTTCCTTGCTTCCTGCCCGGCTCAACCCCTTTCCCAGCAAGCTCTGGGGGCCCTATGTCCCCAGGTTCCGGACAGGGGCTGGGGAATATCAGGGCCGAAACAAGCCCCCTGGAGGCAAAGGGAGGCTCCTCTGCATTTCCCTTTCCTGCGGGCCTGCCCTGGTTTTTTTCATGATGTCATCCATTCATCATTGTGAGCTGATTGGCGGTCCCAGGCCTTGGCTAGCTGCCCAGGGCCAAGAGGGAAGAGAGAGGTACCAGGGCAAACTTGCAGCAGGCCCCTGAGCATGTGCGGAAATGTTGTCATCAGTTCCACAGAGAAAGACTCGGTGGAAATCAAAGAAGACAGTAAAAGTCACAAGATCTTTTCCAACCTTCCCTTCCCTGAATGCCTGGGAAGAAGTCAGGGGCCTCTTGCCTGTGGATGGGGAGCCAAACCCTGGAGTGGGCCTGGGTGTGGAGGAGGGACTGCTCTGCCAGATTCTTCATTCTCCAGAATTCAACCTATTTCCTGACTCAGTGGTGTTTGAAAGCAACTTTGTCCAGGTACTCTTGGGTCGCTCAGAATGGCACTCCTTGATTCTTCTCAACCTGTTCCCAAGATGTGACCGGGAGAGTCTGTCCCAGGGACGGGAGTGGAGTGAGAACTGGGACAAGGAGAAGTCAGTGGGCCTGGAAGGCATCTGACCCTGACCTTGCAGAGCCCCAGACAGGGCTTCTTCTGCAGACACTTGTCATCGTGGGGACAGAGGGCAGGAGTTCTCTGCTCTGAGGAGAGGACTTGGTGTCCGAATCCCTCCACGTGCTTCCTTCTCCAGGCTGTCAGTCCAAAGAGGTGAACAAAGAGGCAGTGAAATGAGCTGCCCTTGGAGGGTTTGTAACCGAAATGCTGATTGGTGAAAGAACAGGAGCTGGGCCCCCGAGAGGGACCAGGGCTCAGAGTCTCTGCTTTCTTGAGGTGTCACTGTGCAAGTGCCCTGCGTGCCCCGAATCCCAGTTTCCTCTGTTATAAAAGGGGCTGGACCAACCTGGTTGTTCCATGCAAACACAGGAAGCAAAGGCCCAAGTACAACGGGCACTCAGGGCATTTTTTTAAAAAAGACGTTTATTTATTTGAGAGAGAGAGTGCATGTGAGTGCACTGCGCAGAGGGAGGGCAGAGGGAGAGGGAGAGAGCAGGAATCTCAAGCAGACTCCCCGCTGAGCACAGAGCCCACGACGGGGGATTTGGGGGCCCATCCCAGGACCCCAAGATCTAGACCTCAGCCGAAATGAAGAGTCAGCCACTTAACCGACTGCGCCAGGCTGGGGCCCCTCTGTGCATTTTTGTTTCCTTGCCTGCCCTTCCTTTCCTCAGGCCAGGTGGAACCCAGAATAAACAGCTTGGGAGCTGCAAAGGACCTCACAGTTCAGGGAAAGTGCAGGAGATAATAGGGCCCCTCAAAGAACGGCCTAAGGACAAATTTTTCAAAGAAAAGCCAGGAAACAGTGTGGGGAAGAGTCACAGAAATATGACACAGGTCTGGGAACTCCTGGGCTATGGTTCTTGTGGGTGACTGTTGATAGGAGGTAGTGTAAATACTCTCTTACAGTTGCTTAACCAACACATAGGTTTAAAGATTTTATTTATTTATTTATTTATTTATTTATTTATTTATTTATTTATTTGACAGAGAGAGACAGTGAGAGCAGGAACACAAGCAGAGGGAATGGAAGAGGGAAGCAGGCTTCCCGCGGAGCAAAGAGCCTGATGCAGGGCTCATTGAGGGGCTCATTGAGGGGCTCAATGAGGGGCTCGATCCCAGGACCCTGGGATCATGACCTAAGCTGAAGGCAGACACTTAACGACTGAGCCACCCAGGCGCCCCACCAATATAGGTTTAAACAGTGGTTCTCAACAAGCATTGATTTCGCTCGCTACTGCCAGGGGGCATTTGGCAACCTCTGGAGATATTTTTGATGGTCCCAACTTGGGCGGGGGGGTGGAGGGATTGCTACTAGCGTCTAGTGGCCTAGAGACGGAGGCTGCTACTAACCATCCTGCAGACCCCCCTTCCCCCAAACAAAGAATTAGCCAGCCCCCAATATGAATAGGGCTAAGGTTGAGAGACCCCTCAGCTAGAATACACTGCTGCTTGGGCGCCTGGGTGGCTCAGTTGGTTAAGCGACTGCCTTCGGCTCAGGTCATGATCCTGGAGTCCCGGGATCGAGTCCCGCGTCGGGCTCCCTGCTCAGCGGGGAGCCTGCTTCTCCCCCAACCCTCCCCCCTCTCATGTACTCTCTCT